TAGTAGAATAAGTGGTTTGGTATGGAAACTACCTTTATGATAGATGATGTATGTTAGAGCAGTAAAGGTTGAAGTAAACGATCATTGAATTGATGTAGTCAATTCAAATGCATACTAGTTTGTAACGCCGCGCTTTGCCGCGGAGTATCAGCGGCCAATTTAAGTTGCAGGAGACAACCACTAACTCTTAAAATGGGCATGAATTACATGCCGTATTGGAAGGTTACAACAATCCAATTTTTACATTTTCTCAATTAATTAATAGTGAAATTTTAGTCTTGCTCGCCTTCTGTCTACTTGTCCCTCTCTCTAATCTTTCCATATGTTATACTTCTCGCAACGAGCTTTCTCAATCCTAAAACTTAACTTCTCTACTCGTTAAATTTCTGGTGCTTGTGTCCCTCTCCGATTCATTATCTTTTACAATCTTTCTCCCTTCCGGCTCTATAATAGGGGCGACATTCCAAGGGGTTCGATGAGGGGGTTGAACTGGGACTCAGTGGCAATGTAGTGTATTCGAGATCGATTGTGATTGGGAGTTCTAGTCGCTTGTGGTGGACTTCAGAGAGGACCCCTATCCGTGAGAACGACGATGTAGGTAAGTTATTTTGTCAAATTCAAAAATCTCCAATAGTTGTGTTGCATGGACTACTCCTCCGCTTACTCTCCCACGAGTTCAGCGTCAACAAAGTACTGAGGGAGTCACTCCTCACCGACCCACGAAGCGCCAACACTGTGATTTGCTTCCAATTCCATGACTCTTTTGCCAATGTAATCATAAAGTAAAAAAGACTTTGTTTTTCATATGAATTAATCTCTCAATATGTGTTGTTTTTTTTTTGGTTGGTGTAATTATAGTTAACGGATGTGACTATTGAACGTTGTCGAACGACACATATACCATGTTTGGTAAAAAGCTTGTCATCTCTAAGATCCATTCTCCGCATTCTTAAGGCGTGTTGAGGACATCACAGGCGAACTTGAGAAAGATATTCTCGATGTCGTTTCTTGCGTTAACATCAACACATTGCTTCTCGTGGGGGATAAGTTTTGTGTATGCAACATAATCTAGTGGTTTTCTTTTGCTATGTTTTTATTACTCTTTTGTGCTTCAGAGGAGATTAATTATGTGAAGTGGTTTGGGGCTTTAGATTTCATTTTGGATTCTTGGACTCTTTCTATTTGAGATTTAGGGAGGCTCATCAATCAGTCATATCAATTAACAAGAGCCCATGAACTTAAACGGTCCTAAGACCATCCACAATGTGGGTGGGGGAAAATGTGGGGAAAGAGGGAAAAGTGGGAAAATTGGATGATTTGGTCACAGTGTGGTGGTGGGAAAAGTGGGTAATCAGTTTAGTACTTTTTTGTTAAAATCAATCTATAGTTGATTTTGTCACTTTATTTTCATATAATGATCATTATTATTACGTACTTAGTGATAATTAATTAATACGAAATTTTTGACAGATTTTTTTTAATTTAGACATTTTTTTTAATCACTAATTAAGTATGACATCATCAATGACAAAATCACAATAATACAAGGAGACAAAAACACAGCTTTCCAAACAAGCCTTTGCTAAAATCAGAAAAAAGGGTTGTCCTTTCCCATCCGCCACTTCCCCCCACCATTTGTCTCATCTGGTGGGTTTTCCCACCCACTAAACCCACAAAACTCATTTAATCCCCTATTCCTCCCCACATTGTGGTCACATTTCCCCTTTTTCTCACAAAACCAACCCACGCTGTGGGTGGTCTAAGCAAATAAGATTAGCTAAAACGTCCCACCCAATCATAACAACTCCTTAGGCAATAGTAACAAGTATTTAGTTTTATATATAATAATATGTCTTCAATATATTGCGTTAGTTTTGCTATGTAGTTGGGAAGATAACATGGCTATGCTCTTAGTTAATGTTGTTTGCATAAGTGCTTACCATCATCCTCATTTTCCAGGATGGAAACTATTGTCAAGATGAATGTGAAAATTACCATTCATCACTAAACTTGCTCTATTAATTCATGTTTACCACTGAACTCATTTTTAATTCAACTAAACCTCACCATCCATCATTTTTCGTTTCAACGAAAAGGAAAGGATACAAATGTCACAAAAGTATCATACAATGCGATAAAATTGAAATATTGAATAAAGTAGGACATAAATGATATTTTCTTAAAGATTCGATTGTTGTAGTGGCATTAGCCCTAATAATTACTTCAATTGTTATTTGGAGAAGTCTTTATAGTTAAAATGTGACATTTTAATTGGTATTCCATCTGTTCAAGTTCCTATGTACGATGAGATTTATTGCTTAAGAAAGTAATAAAAATATTAATCATAGTTAGATGCTAAAAGTTCATCAAACATACTACTAAAATTTAATTTATATTTTAAGAAAGCTTAATAGCACTTTATACTCCTTTGCCATTGGAAATTAACAAGTGTATTCGGGTACTATTATTTTTCACAAATGTGCCCTCTATTTTTTTGCAACATGACAAATATATACTTATATTACTATGCAAAATGACTATCTTACTCCTCTATTATCAGTTTTCACATAGTGATAGTTGTTTTCAATAGATAAAAACTGAATTAATTAATTTTTGGGATAATACCACTAGGAAATCCGAAGTATTAAGAATGCGTCATTTGTGTACTAAAGTATCCAATACGACATTTGTGTCCTAAACTATTTTTTCGTTAGCGTAGACCAGCGTTGACCGTTAGCATTTAACAAATGGCACATTCTTAATAGTTCGGGTTAGGACATAAATGACATAAAACTACAATAAGTTGGAACCCAAATGTCATATTAGATACTTTAGTACACAAATAACACATTCTTAATAGTTCGGGTTTCCTAGTGGTATGAGCCCTTAATTTTTTAATTGTTCCCCCTTCCCTATCGAGGTAGCCCCCCACCCCCCACCCCTCCAATTCTTCCGCCTCCGCAGACACCTTACCTACTGAGTTGCTGAATCATTTTCAGCAACTCCAACGTCGAGCCCCTCTCCTCCCCACCCCACTGCAACTTTTCGGAACCAGTTACCTAAAATGCAGTCACACTCTCATTAACTCAAATCCATCAATACAAATAATTAACCACACTTTCTGATGCATTTTATTTATCCAGTATCCAAACCATGGACTACTTCTGGTTACGATTATTAACATTTTTTTTTATAATGGATGCACCAGCACCCTACCTTTCATTCAAAACCATTCGGAGATCCCCTGACAGTCATACATGATCCAATACGAGAGCATAGGATCGGAACTCATAACCTCATGAAAACCAAACGGGACCACATGTCCACGAATAACCAGAAAATCAGCACATCTATTACCTTCTCTATACACATGCTCTACTAACACCTCCCAGGGTCTAGACAGAAGCTCCCTGAACCGAGCTAGGACAACTGCACAATGATGCTCCTCGGTATCCGTCCGACGAATGAGCTGGACGGCGCACTGCGAATCGAGCTGGACAAGAACCCTGCGATGTCCCCTGTCCCACGCCACATGTAAACCTTCCACTGCACCTCTCAACTCCGCCTGGGTGATAGTGCACGCACCCAGGTTCAAAGTGAACGCTGAAAGACAACGTCCTGTATGATCTCGGATAAGGCCACCAGCAGCGCCGAGGCCTGTCTCAGGAAGTACGGAGCCGTCGGAGTTGAGGCAAACCCACTTAGGAGGAGGCGGCTTCCAAGTCCAACCCAACCCGATGAATAGTGAACGGGTTTAAACCCTAACCCGGCCCAAAACCCGTCAACACGGATTTTACCCACGTTGACTGGGTCGGGTGGGTACCCGTGGGTTCGGGTTTTGTTGCCATCTCTATTACCATCGAAGAAGAGTTTGGTGGAGTATAAGGACTGGGGGAGCGACGGAGGAGCAAACACCAAATATGCAAAGAAGCTTAGAATATCTCCAAAAACTAACTCAAAATGTCAAAAATACCACCTCCAACAATAATTGGGAAAAGCCAAAAATACCAAAAAATTCTTCCAAATACCCATTAGAAAAAGACAAGAAATTCCAGATTCTCTCACTTGATTAAAAAATTCTATTTAAGTCCCTAAATTAAATTCTAACGACTCTATTAACCCCAACAACTTTTTTCGTCATTAATGATATCATATTTGAACATGTGAAGTGTCTATGGTCCATTTGAACAAATTATTGTGATTTCGTCATTAATGACATCATATTTAATGATAACTTTTTATATCGAAATTAAAAAAATTATATCAAAACGTTCGTCTTAATTAATTAGTGCTACCTATATACAAATAATCTAAAAACTATCTAATTAAAATGATGTAATCTGACACTAAACTAGTTTATCACAAAAAGAGAAAATTTGCCATTTGGGTATTGTTTGTTGGAGAAAAACCACTTTTGAAGTGCTAAAATGCCAAAACTATTTGACATTCTAGCATTTTCTCAATTACTCGTCCAAAATGACAACAAAACCAGCAACTATTCTAATTCTAATGTAAATCCAAAAGTACTGTTTACGGCCCGGGTATCCCATAAAACTATAAACCAATGGCTTTGAGAAAATAGGATTTATTAGTAATCCAAGAAGAACAAGAGCACCAGTGGTCTAGTGGTAGAATAGTACCCTGCCACGGTACAGACCCGGGTTCGATTCCCGGCTGGTGCAATCATGATCGAGTTATGATGAATCCTGCGCTTTCTGTGAGAGAGGTCCTCTCGCCACCGTCTGATCTTCGGACGAAATGTTGGCGCATCTGAGCTCGATTCTTTTTCTTTTTTCACTTCCCCCCCGTCTTTTTCTTCGTTTTGATTGGTTTCATCTGCCCAGAATTTCCTCTCGTTTCCCCGGTAGGCGGTAGCTGCCAGTTCGTCCGATAATCGACCAATTTCCACTCAACCACTACTCTTTCCATTCCTGCAGAATCCCGGTTTCTTTATCAGTTTCATCCTCGATCAGCCCAGAGACAACCTTCTCCTCCAAAAGATGGGGACTTGCTGCGTAAGGAGCCATCAGCTACTGATTCAGTCTCACCATAACTTCATCGGGTCCTCTTCTGGTTACCCTTTTCCTCCTTTTACTCATCGTCATCGTCGCCAAAGTTCCCGGCGCCTTCCCCGGGCGATTCTCCCCCGCCGTACAACAACCACCACCACTAGAATTTGTTGCCAGTATGATGACACCGGCCGGAAACCAGCTCAGCAATCCTCTTCTTCAACTGGAATTCAACTTTATGGTGAGATTGAGAGGTAGGGCCATGATTTATTCTCTGGAACAATCAATATTTTGGTACGAAATCGTCGATGATTTCTTCTTGCTTTTGCGTTTCTATTTATACAACAGGATACTTACCGAGTCTGTGAGGCAGTCCCAGGGTGGTTGGGGCTCTTTGACTGACTGGTTTGAGATTGAGGTTTCCTTTCTTTCTATCTCTCTTCACTTATATTTATTGAGTTGGATTCATACTGATACCCCAGAATTGAAAACAATTTCTCGTTAGGCTAGCTGAAAATCTGCCAACTTTACCCTCCAAAGTGTTTATACCATGGATAAGAAAATTTGAATATGAGATTGTATATCGTCAAAGCTTCCATTTACAAGTCTGTCATACCTACCAATCGCTCTCAGTAATGGGGGTTGTTGTAACTGAATCATATGCATGTCTGTCTGTCTCTTACAATCTTCATTGTGCAGGATAATAATGGTATTCTGAAACTGGTTTCTTTTCCATAATGTTGCTGGTCTGGTCAATTTCACCTTAAGCTCATGTTATGTAATTTCTGCTGGTTGTCACACGTCTCTGCATCTCTATAAGTGGTAATTTTCTATGTTCTAGCTGGTGCCTAGCTACTCTTTCTACGAAATCTGAAAGAGGTTAGAATAAGCTCAATTCGGACAATAGACAGAGACAATAAGAACCTCCTAGAGGATGCACATGCCCTATTAGCTATTACAACGCTTGGCTAGCATATAGCAGAATCTAAGTCCTTGTCTACCATTTGCTAAGTTTGGAACTTGGCTGAACAACTACTTGAGCTGTTTCATCTAGCTATTTGGCCATTGAGTTGCATATCAAAATTGGGTTTTTCTTAATGGTGGATTCTCAGGGAGCATGGGTTCTGAAGCCAAAAAATGGAAGAGCTAACTCTGTTGTCCATTTCATTGGTGGCATATTTGTTGGAGCAGCACCACAACTAGCCTACCGATTGTTTCTCGAGCACCTTGCAGAAAAGTAAGTTTAAATCTCTTATCTTTTTGGTGATGAAGGGTAATGAATGTAGTAACACATGCTGACAAATACCCAGAGCATCAACTCACCGCTGCAAGTTTCACTTAATCTGTTCCAGTTATTTTTTTACTAATGATAACTAAAAGGATGCTGATAGTTACCTTGTTTTTTCTGGCTGATCTAGGGGTGTAATGGTGATCGCTACACCTTATGCCAGTGGGTTTGACTATTTCCACATTGCAGATGAAGCTCAATTTAAATTTGATAGGGCTTTGCGCTTCTTACAAGAACCTGTAAGTTTCACTTGCTTTTGTCTACTAAAGGATGATTTTCGCCTTATCTTTCTTCTTATTTTATTCAATGTCTATAAATTTGAATATAAACTGAATAGTGGCTGGGGTCTTCGTACAGGTGCAAAATCTTCCTACCTTTGGTATGGGCCACTCTTTGGGGTCTGTCATTCACCTACTGATTGGTATGCTAGTTCATCCTTGTACTTCCTTCCTTTTGAGGTTGTGTTGCTTACAGTTGTTTGACAAGAACTGAACTTGCTGTTTTAGGATCACGTTATGCTGTGCAAAGAAGTGGGAATATACTGATGGCGTTCAACAACAAGGTAGGTGCTTTCTTGAAAATGTCAGTAGAGTGACAGTTGTCAGTCAGTCATCATAGGAATTAGGATAGCCTCCTCTCTATTTGATGGTCCTGTAAACCTTTCTGATGCTTCCTTCAATTTAATTTCTTCATTAGAAATGAAGTCTAAAAATATGCTGGAGACCAATCTTTTCTGAATTAATTCTCTCCTTTTCTTTTTGTTCCTCAGGAAGCAAGCCTAGCTATCCCTCTTTTCTCACCTGTTCTTGTACCAATGGCTCAAAGCATGGGCCCAATTCTGTCACAGATAGCCTCATCACCAACAGTCCGCATGGGAGTGAGATCCTGAAACAGTAGTTTATGAAGCTCATTAATGCTCTTTCAGATCATGCTTTCTTGCATCTTACTCTATTAGGATTCTAAGAGCTGAATCCAAGCACACTGGCTTTGTTGAAACTGACATGCAATTTATGCTCAAGGAATGCCTCTCTGTATTTCATTTTATCTTTTTATTATGATCATGGCATCACGTTCTTCATAATTTTGTCCCTCACAAGCTTCCAATAGTGTTGAAATATGCGAGCAATTCTTTCTTAAATGGTTCCCATTACCTCCTTTCAGTTGCTAAGTGAGGATTTTATGAAGTCTCTCTGTATGTGAGCTCTGTCTACTGACGAAGTATTTTGTTAATGGCGACAGTTCGGAATAACATGTTTCTAGTTGATCATTTTCACTTGACTCTCCTCTTTAATCGTCCCCATATTTTCAGTTTCCTTTATGTCACACCCTCATGTATACTAATCTTTAGATGGTTGTTGCAGGCTGAAATAACATTGAAGCAGATAGAGAACCTCACCCCTCCTTTCATGAAACAAGCTTTCCCTTTAATTGAGCAACTTCCTCCTTTATACATGGACCTGGTTAATGGACGAGAAGACTTCAGTCCAAAACCTGAAGAAACTCGCCGCCTTGTATGTCAATTGTCCCCTCCCTTATCTAGTGTTTTTTTTTTTGGTTTCCACCTCTTGGTGCAAATTGCTGACGTTGGTATGGGGTGGCCAAATTCCAGATAAGGTCATATTATGGAGTCTCTAGAAATCTTCTGATAAAGTTCAAGGACGATTCCATCGACGAGACCTCATCGTTGGCCAAAGTCCTAAGTTCAGAATCAGCTATTAGCTCATTACTAGACATGTCAATTCGCTCACTACCAGGAGATCATGGTCTTCCTCTGCAACAGGTACCATATTTTTTTTTTAACAAGCCAAATAATCTGCAGCGCTTTTTTACTAGTGAAAGTACCAAAAGCTTGTTTCTTACGATCCAAATTGTCCACCTACGCTACGCAGGGGTTACCAGATGTGCCGCCTGCAATGGCAGATGCAGTGAACAGAGGAAGTGAGCTGTTCACAAATCTGGCAGTTGGAACGCCATGGGAGACCGTGGCCAAAGAAGTAGGTAATACATTAGGGACAGACAACCAGATCCTGCGTGCGCAGGCGTCCAAGGACTTGGCCAAGCTTGTGGATGTGATCACCTCCTGGATGGCTTCGAATGCAGGTCCAAAGGCTTTAAGGCCATGAAGAAAGGAAGCTACCTCTGCAGCACGCCATTCTTGAAAGAGAAAACAAAGTCGGGGGAAGTTACAGAAGATATGATATCACCAGTCTAATCTTTTCTAGGTTGTAAAGGGGACATTCTTGTGTACATAAAAGAAAAAGAAATGTTACACAGAAATCAGAAGATGTAATGGGTTGCCGTGCCACAAAAGACAAATGTTTGTGGAAATGTTTATTAGTATGCAGCCCACATGGATTGAGAAACCGTACCGGTGACGTGCCCTGTAAGATTTCAGTTATTTAGGGAGCAATTTGAACTGGTTGGAACAAAACGGTTCAACCAGTATAGTGTGGCATATCGTCTGGTTTGGGCTGTAGTATGGTCAAGGAAGATAGCATCTGTTGCTTTCTGTTATCAACTCTATCAGCAGTTGTATTGTATGCATCAGTTACCTGTATAAAAGTCGCACACAATCAATAATAAAACTACGGTAGAATTCCCACGGAACTTCAGTCCTTACCTCTATCATATCTCAAACCCTTATCCTCTTGAGCACAAGATTGGTTGTCTTTGTCGTGGACCTTCTTCATGTGCCATGAAAATAATGTTACAATTACGTAAACATCAAAATTATAATAAAACAGGCGGTCCGGATTGCTCGACATGATACAACGCCCAGTTGGTGCTAAATTCTAATTCAATTAGAAGAAGCACAAACAAACCCATCAATGAGGAATTGTTACGTTATGAAAACTCCAATTCATGGTTTTCAAGCCACTAGTATATCGGTCGGAACAATAAGGTTTAACCGATATTGGAGAAAAATCAGCTTGAAAACCACCATGAAGTAGTAGACAAAACCAGTAAAAAAACGGTTGAAACCGAAAAAGAGTGATACAACTAGAATGATCAATTTTTCGGTGGAGTTAACTAAGAAAAAGAGATAAATTTGGTGGAATCAAGTATGAGCATTTAGATTTGATGTTATTTACTAGATTCAAGTATAAATGTATGAATGTTGATGTTAAATGTTACATTTAAATATGATGATTAGTCATTTTGTTTGTAATGTAGTATTTTATTTAAATATGGATGGAAATTATATGTAAATTGTCTTAACATAGATTATATAAATGCACATTTCATTTGGTGTTAATGGTTTCCCACTTCCTCATATGTTTAGTTAAAACCGACATACAAATCGATTGTACTCCGATTATATCATGCCTCATGCTAAATCCACGTAACTTCCTCCAACCAGTCTTGTATCAATGAGCACACATAATCTAATTGCGAACAACTAGCACGTAGGTGGTCCATAGAATCCATTTTTATTTATCATTACAAATGAAAACAAAGCTGAGATTACCATGTAAATCGTCAACCCAATTTAAAACTACATTAATTAGCATATCTGTATGTTTAAAATTGCATTACATTGCATAGCCGAAGGGCCAAATGAAATCAACGAGTAATATATCCTACATATGTATACAAAAGAAATAGAGGAAGGAGAAGAAGAAGAAGAGTCGTATACGGTGGCCAATGGTGGGTGGGGCTGTCCCTGTGTTCCCAACCTTGTGTGGTCATTAGCCTCTTTAAAAACCCGACTCTATACACTTCTTCTTTTTCTTCTTCTTTTCAATGATTAGAACAGTATCCAAAATCCAATAAGTAAAACGTTTGGATAATTAAAATTGTAAAACAGAAAACAATAGGATAAGAGATTCAATGAACCAATTATGAAATATTGTTGATGCGAGTTGCCACTTGTGACTTGTTTGATTTAATTTGTCCAATTTCTGGGATTTAAATGATTCTTTTCGTTGAAATTGACAACACTTGGGAATTAGCTTATACTATTCCATATTTTTAATAACGAATTTCAATTTTAAAATAATGGTTAGATTGAAATGATAAATACTTAGTTGTATGGGTTGGATGATGAGGAGGACGCTACTCTAACCACCCAAAAACATTCCCAGGAAATTTAACATAATATAAGTAAAATATTAATTAATAAATAATATTATAATAATATTATTTAAAATAATATTATTGAAAATTATTTGACATAAATCATGATAATTATTTAAATAGACAGATGAAATAAAAATTACTTATTTGAGATATTAAATTAAAAAAACTACAATAGAAAATAAATTGACAATTAATTAATTAACTAGATTCACCGGGAAAAGGCCTATAGTTTAGGGTTTAGGTCACTGATACCCTTATGTTGATATCGCGTCGTTTATGTCCCCAAGTTTAGTTTCTGTTACCTTTGACAGTTAGTAGTCAATCGTCAAAGTTTTGACCAATGATGTGGCATATTCTTTTGCCACATCACTTTATCTAAAATAAATAAAATAAAAATGAATACTTAGAAATAAAATTGCATAGTTCTTTAAATGGCAAATACAATATAATATCCATAACTATTATGGATCAGGGATTTATATCCTCAACTATCAATATACAAATTAATATCCAATCATTAATTGTCCGTTAATACCCCGTTAGTAGGTCTTTCTGCAATGCTGACCCAGCAAAAAATAAACTGAGGTGGAATTGAGAACGTGACATCCCTGTGGAATTGATTAAGTAAATAATAACATAAAACGTAAAAAATAAAACAAATATTACCCCTCCCCTCCTCTCACATCCATTCACCCAATTCTTATCCTCAACCCCTTCTTCTCTCATTTGTCCATCTCCCCCTTCGTCTGCAAAGACACGAAGTCGCCGACGAGGATCCACTCACCGTCCTGCAGGCGTGGTGGCGAGACTGCCATTGCCTGAGTCCCCCCTACCAAAACCCCCAATCCCTCTTCTTTCACCCATCGGAAGTAACGAATCGTCAATCCAAATCCCCAATCTTCGATCCAGGTCTGGAGAGCTCATCGTCGACAAGAAGCCACCACTGCCTCGGAGTACGCACCGGGGACTCCCCGGTATGCGACTCGGAGCTGCGCTCTATGCATTAGAGCTGGATCGAGGTCGGTGATAGTCAACGCCTTCTGCAGTCGACGGCAGTCGCAGTACCGTAGGTCGGGACCAAATCCAGGTCAATAGTCTAGTGACCGTTGACCGAATCTATGAAATCGAGTCCATTTTCTCTTCCAGATCTAGGCTGCTCCTGAGTGACGACTTTGCTGGAGAGGATGGCGCATGAGCTCTGCCAGTCGGATCTGCTGCGGATGATGCCAGCGGGACAGTTGACGGAGTCGTAGGAGCGGTGGATGCAGTGGACGACGAGTGGTGCTGCCACGGCGGAGGGACGGCTAGTCCCGATTAACGAGGAGTTGAGAGACGACAGAGGCTGGGTAGGGCGGAGGAAGCTAGGTGACGGTGGAGGAAGATAGGGGAAGAAGAAGAGGGAGACAGGGGAGGGCGGAGGAAGCCAGGGGACGGTGGAGGAAGATAGGGGAAGAAGAAGAAGAGGGAGAGAGGGGAGGGCGGAGGAAGCAAGGTGACGGTGGACGAAGATAGGGGGAAAAAGAGGGGAGAGTGGTTGAGTTTGTTTTTTAACTTTAATTTTTTAATTTAAAAATAAAAATTATATATTTAATTATTTGCTGATGTGGACGCCAATATGGATGCTGACATGGCAGTCTCCGTTACAAATTTAACGGTGGTAACAGACTGTTAGCCATATCTTGACCCACAACTATAGTTATGGATATTATTTTGTATATTGATAGTTGAGGATATAAATCTCCGATCCATAATAGTTATGGATATTATATTATATTTGCCCTTCTTTAAATGATAAATAAAAAACCAAAATAAAACCACAAACCAAGATTTACAAACCCAAAATTTTGTTCTTCCCCCACAGGCCACTAAACCCTAATCAAATCTCTCACCACTGCCTCTCTGAATCTGCTTAAAAAAAATGAAGCAAAACAACATTCATTTGGAAGCATCCTTTCTCTCATAACATCGGACTTGTGCAATCAAATTCCAGCGCATCTGATTGAAATAATGCAGCGGCGAATGGAGCTCGAGCAACAACGATGAATGGAGCTTCAATAACAGCGCCTGTTGGAACTCCAACAGCAGCGACGGTTGGAATTTGAACAGCGGCGTCAGGATCTTGTCCCCACGGAAGGTCGATCGAGATTCGACGCTGATCCCCTGCCCCGGATCTGGAGAAGACTCTGTTACGGTTCTAGCAGTCAGCAAGGAACTGCAGAATCCCCACCGCTATGTCGATATGAAGAATCCCCCACCGTATCGATCTTCTGAACCCCCACCACTCACAACGGTCGGATGAGAAGAGGGAGAGGATTTGACACACCGGCGGGGAGAATTCTGCTTCGTCGGAGCAGATATCGGGGTTTCCGGCGCCGCTGTGGAGTGGGAGGTCTCCGCTTCTGAGGAGTAAGTGATTCTGCTGCGGATTGGGAAACGGCGAGGGCGGCGAGAGAAGGCATTGTTTTTTTGCCGGATTGAAGATTGTTTCGACTGATTGATCGGCGATTAAGCAGATAATTTGTTACTGCAGGTGAGAAGAGTGACTTTGAAGTTGAGAATTAGGGTAAAATTAAGAAAAGATATGGACCTTAATTTTATCAAGGAAATGAAACGTCAAGAGGCAATAATTTAGATCCATATATGAAGAGAGAAAAGAACGATAAATATGTGGTTTGGGTGAATTTTTTATTTTGAAATTATATTTATAAAAAATATTTTATGACTTGTTGATGATGTGGAAGCCATGATGGCACAAAGTCAACAAATTGTTGACTACCGTTTGTTTGACCGTTAAGTCTAAAAGTCAACAAAATAGAAGAGGACATTTTTGACAGCACGACCCAATACGTTGGGACATAATTGACGCAGTATAAACATAAGGATAGAAGTGACATAAACTCTAAACTATGGGCCTTTTTCTGGTATTAGGCCAAAAAATAATAGAGAAAAAAATATTAAACAGGATAAGCTGATAATTTTTAGTCTAAAGTTAAGTATGGTACGAACTATTTAGTAATTTATTTAGTTCTTTTTATTTTTTATTGTTGTTGGCTTGTGCCTTATTGTGGTTAACATTAACAAAAAATCAATGTAAATGATTTAGTTACTTTAAAATTGATGCCTTGTTGGGTACAAGCAGATTAATTGATAAAATTGAATTTATTTTCCCGTTAGAAAGTTGAAGCAATAAATTTAATAATGTTAATAGAGATTTGAGGTAAAAAAATCATTTGGGACCGGATTGAAAAACGGATAAGAGAGCCCAACACCAAAAACTTAACCAAATCCTCACCCGTTGAGTCCTTAGGCCACTCAAATCCCCACAAGCTCAATCTAAAATGAAGACCGAATTGGGACTAGATCGAGTCAAGAACGGACCGAATCGAAACCGGACTGTATCCAATCCAATCTTTGGTCCTTTTATTCCCGAAAAGACCAGACTGAGACCGGATCAATTCGGGCCAATTTAACCGGACTGGACCGTATAGCCACCCCTAATTTCTAGTGATCGAACATGGATGTTTTTAGTAATTCCAGTGACCAACCATGCAATTTACCCATTCTTTTCTTTGATCTTTGGGCTTAATTTATTATTATTATTATTATTATTTATATTAACAATAAAAACCCAATCAATTAATTTTCTATTGTTTTGAATTTACAACTAAAACTCAATACTCCATAATAGTAATTAGTCTTGTACATGATGGAGGCTCAATGAACCTTTCACTATCCCTAACAACTCTTTTATTTCTTGGTTGGTTAAGCTAGATAAGATACAAATCGTAGACAAGATACAAAAATGGAAGCTTGGGGTTGACCTGACTTGTCCTCTATGCTCCTTTCTCTCTCAGAATCTAGCAACCACCTTTATTTCAGGTGTACCTACACACATGAGGTGCTATTTAACACCTTTCCCTGCCCCATGGAACTACAAGCCTACAGATGAATGGATTGAGGGTATATGTTGAAAGCAACTGTGCAATTTAGAGCTTGGAAAGTGGGAATGTTGCTATGGAACAAGATGATCAATGAGATTTTGCATGAGATGTCGAAGATTGTATAAGAATAAGAGTTAAGAAAATCCTCAACTGAACGGCCCCTAATTGACTATTTTGGAAGTGCTTACTGGTCTTATTAGAAGCCTTATCCAGATTCATTTCAAGACCATATGTGGTTTAATTCATTCTCAATCTTTGGATAAGTCCCAGTAGGATGATAAAACTATCAGTAATATGTGTTTCAAAACAAATTTGAAGTTGTCTAATGGGCCAAAACTAGTCAATTGTCTTTGGATTGAAAGCCTATGAACTAAGCAAGAAAAGTCAGTAAGCCAAGAGCAGCTGATTCAATAGCTATCTAAGAGCAACTGTGCACAACAGGAAAGTCATTAGGGAAGGCGGACATCGGTCGACCAAGACCCGGAAGGGGTTCGCACAACTTACAACTTTCATCGTACTATGCTCTCCAAAGAGCAACTCTTCTCAAAAGGTGCTGAGTTGGAATCCCATTCTAACTAAGGATTCTTGTGGTTCCAGAGGATCCAGCTATAGGAAAACCAGGAATGGAGATATCGAATTATATTAGTGTCTAGCATTTATTTCAGAAACAATCACTTAGAAAGACTTAGATACTTGCTCTTCTTACTGGTATCGTCAAATATGATGACATTAACTTGGCCCAAATTTTTAGGATATATTGAATAAGATTTCACAAACATGAAAAAATTTGACAATAAAAATTCGCATTCAGGACATGATGTTGACACCATGACACGCCCACATGAAACACGCTAGACACGTCTAAGATGTTTTCATCAAGATCGCATTTGCTGAGAGCTTTTTAGCACCACGAAAGATCCACAAAAATATGGTATGCAAATTTGGTGTGAGGTTTTCAAGAGTTTTGCATTGTTTAATACAATGTATGGTCAGTTGTAGGTATGTCATCATGACATGAGATCTTTACCATGTATAATGTAAGGAATCATGATACAAAGCAATAAGCCACACTCTAAAAATCCTTTCTCTCTCCCCCCTTTCTTTTATCCCTCTTATATCTTAGTTTTATATCCATATTTCTGATGCGGCTGCAGTCGGCTTCCTAATGGGACTGGAGGCAACCCCTATTTTTCCTTTTCCTTGTGATTTTGGCTCTCCATGATTCGTCGGATCTCTTCTTTCTTTTCCTCGGTTATCCTTTTCTTTTTTTCGCAACTATTTTTCTTGCCGCCGGCTCTATTTTCTTTCCATGTTTTTCCTCCATTTCAAATCTTCTTCTGTAAAATCGACAATAAACGAGAGATGAGACAATTTAACGTGGTTCTTTCTCACAGTGTGTGAGGCTTACATCCACGGAAGAGACTCTGATTTTATTGGTTTTGCTTAGTTCGGCCAGTGGCCAAACTTACATATTTATAGCCCATATCATCTTTCTCTACTATGGTTACATTAGCTGTCCAATTACAATTAGGATAGATAGAAGTCTCCGTGGCCTCCTTGGACTTTAATGCATGGGTTGTGGGCTTCCATGCAACCAAGCATGCATGGGCTACAAGAGGCGACGATATGGGCTTCTCACGAGGAGGGTCTCGATCCAATATTCCCCTGCAAACTGAGACGTGAAGGTCACACACGTTCAGTTTGGACAAAAGAAAATGAAAACAATCTGCACCGAGCCCTTTGGTGAAGATATCAGCAAGCTGGAGATCGGTATGAACCTTGACCGGACGAATGTGACCAGACTGAACACGCTCACGAACAAAGTAACAATCCATCTCGACATGCTTAATCCGTTCATGAAAAATTGGATTGTTAGCGATGGGAAGAGAAACTTGATTATCACAAAACAGGCGAGTAGGTGTAGACTGAGAAACACCAAGCTCCTGAAGCAACCAACAAAGCCAAAGAACCTCACTAACAGTGCTCGCCATGGCACGGTACTTAGCCTCTGGAGAAGAACGAGCAACAACATTCTATTTCTTAGTATGCCAAGAAACAGGAGCGCCGCCAAGGCTGGTGAAATATGCAGTAGTAGAGCGTCGAGTTCGCTGACAAATGCCCCAGCCTGCATCACAATAAGCACTAAGATCAAGAGAATTGTTCTTGGGAAAGAACACAAGCGATGACTTTAAGTAGCGAAGAATGCGGAAAGCAGCATCCAGATGCTTCTGACTAGGAGCATCCAGATGCTTCTGACTAGGAGCATGAACAAACTGACTGAGGATATTAATTGCATAGGCGATGTCAGGATGTGTGACAGTCAAATACAGTAGTGACCCAAAACACGAAGATAAGGAGACAGATCGGCCAACAGATCATCACACGGTCGCTTCAACGTATGATTCTGCTCTATGGGAAAATTGTTGGGGCTAGTCCCTTCCAGACCAGCATCTTCAAAAATATCCAAGGTATATTTCCGTTGGCTCAAAGACACACCATCAGCCGTTCGAGCAATCTCAATACCCAAAAAATTGCGCAAAATACCAAGATCCTTGATGCTGAATCGCTCATCAAGGAATGACTTAACCTTATTGATGAATGGCAAGTCGTTGCCAGCAAGAAGAACATCATCAACATATATCAAGTGAGTGACAAATGTACTCCCCCCGCTTGTAGATAAAAAGAGCCCCATTAGCAGGAGAAGAACGAAAGCCGAACTCATAGAGAGCAGTGGTGAATTTCTGATACCACTGGCGAGAGGCTTGTCGAAGACCATATAGTGACTTATGAAGGCGACAAACCCGCGTATCACCAGGTTTTCGAAAACAAGGGGGAATCTTCATATAGATATCTTCTTCAAGATCACCAGGAAGAAACGCATTATTGACATCAAGCTAATGAAGATGCCATCCCTTGCTGGCTGCGACAATGATTAGACATTGAATTGCGACCAATTTTGCCACAGGAGCAAAGGCATCGTTAAAATCAAGCCCCTCAATATGAGTATAACCCTTCGCAACCAACCGCACCTTTTAACGCTCGATAGTCCCATCTGGATAGAACTTAATCTTATAAACCCATTTGGGAGGTGCGCTTCCCCGGCGGCAAGTATACGAGACTCCAAGTTCCATTAGCTTCAAGGGCCTTGATTTCGCGAGTCATCGCATCTCGCCAGACTTGCTCCCGGATTGCTTGGTAAAAATATCGAGGCTCATCATACCTAGTTTGTGCTGCAGGAAAAGCACGAAAACTAGGGGTAAACTTAGAGTAATTCACATAATTAGCCAAAGGATATAAGACTGAGTTAATGGTACTTCGCTGTATGGAGGGGAGATCCGTGTCATACTGTTCCAAGTATTTGGGACGGGAGCGTTGCCAATCCCCGCATTGTAAAACTAGAGCAGAAGAGACTGGGGCAGGGCCGGAGTTACGTGGCCCAGAGCCTGAAGAACACGGCCCAGAAGAATGTTGTTGGCGACTTGTCATGGATGGACTGGAGTCCGAAGGAGACGGCCCAGCTGAATGCTGGGGACTGGTCACAGACGGCCCAGGAGATGAGGGCCCTGGCTGAACAGACGAAGGGGAGTACTCGTCCTGGGGGGAAACGAATGGGCCCGATGAAGGCGGCCCATCAGGTGAGGACAACCCAGCTAGAGAAGTGGAAACCGGGCCATAAAGAACGGGCCTAGACTGGTCATCTGGGGACGAGGGACTGGAAATGGGAGATGCCGCCAGTGATTCATCTGTCAGGGGAGCCTTAGGTATGGGAATCCAATGAAGCTCTTTGTGAGTTCCACCTTGCCAATGAAAAATGGTCTCGTGGAATTACACATCACGAGAGGTGACCAGACGATGAGAAACCAAATCGTAAACACGATACCCTTTTTGACTAGACCCATAGCCTAAGAATAGTCCTGTGCCCGTCCTCTTTCAGCAAATTTGTCAATGTGAGAATGAGTATCCTTAAAATATACTAAACATCCAAATATCCGAAGATGATGATAGGCATCTGGTTTGTCGAACAGAGTCTCAAACGACGTCTTGCCAGTGGCTTTAATAGGAAGCCGATTAATGAGATAGACTGCGGTGAGAATACACTCACCCCAAAAACTAATTGGGAGACTAGCTTGAAAGCGCAAAGCTCAAGCTGTGCCGAGGATGTGACGATGCTTCCTTTCGTCGATGTCATTTTGCTGCGGTGTATCAGCACATGACATCTGGAGCAAAATACCTTGATCCTCGTAGTATGATTTAAGACCTGTAGTTTAAACTCATAACCATTGTCTGTCTGGATCCGCTTGACCAAGTACCCAAACTGATTTCGCACCATTTTACAGAAATGCAGCAGATATCGCTCGACCTCAGATTTATAACGCATAAGATACACCCAAACACCACGAGAAAAATCATCAACATTGGTTAGAAAATAAAGAGCCCACTTAATGAAGCAACCTTATAACCACCTTAAATGTCAACATGAGTATGATCAAAACGCGACGAAGTCTTAATCATACTAGACTGAAAAGGTTTGTGAGTCTGTTTAGCCCGCAGACACGAGTGTCAAGGATCAGAATATGAATTCAAAGAAACAGATAATAAACAACTAATGTGCATAGTCTTTACCGGCGAAGGGTTCCCAAGACAGGCATGCCAAACTGCTTCAGACACTACTCCTTTGCGTTGCACGACACAAGCTCGAGAATGACACTGGTCAAACAAGCGCAAATAATACAACCCATCATGTAGTTCACCCTTCCCAATCAACTTCTTCGAGTGTAAGTCCTGGATTATACAAAAGTTATCAAGAAAAATTAATGTCACATGATTATCCTTTGTCAGTCGACTCACAGAAATAAGATTACACCGAAATTCGGGTACATGGAGTACGCGACCAAGAGTAGGGGTGGTAATCGGTAAACCGGTATTCGGGCGTATAATTTTCCATTCGGTAATACCAGATAATAACCGGTAAATACCGACGATATACGGTATATCGTAATACCGAGTATTAAAAAAAAGAAGCAAAACGCAACGTACAGGGGGAATGGGTTTGGCGGAATTGGGAATTGGATTTGGGGGTTCTGCCGTCGAGCAACCCAACCCAGCCCTAATCCCTAATTTCAATCGATCGACCTACCTCACCTCCCTAATTCACAATCACACCACGCCTCCCCCTGCACGCTGCAAGCCGAACTTCTTTGATTCTTTCCCGAAAGGCCCAAAACCCATTCTCCGTCTTCCTCTTCTCTTCACAAACCACCTGCCACCAGTAGTCCCCGCCAGAGAGAGGCACGCCGCCGACCGCTGTTGCTTGAAACCTGACGGAGAGTAGTTCGATTCTGACGACGATTGAGGAATTGAAGAAGTAGAAGAAGAAAGAAAGGATTAAGAATGCATAAGAAGGAGAAGAACATGGGAGGAGCTGTTGTTCGCTGAGTTTTTTTGCTTCTCCATTTTGGCCGACGGCGAAGGGTTCTTCTTCTTCTACCCATTCTGATCGTGTGGATGCAATTTCAGCCTACATCGATTATTTTTCTTCCCCATTTTGACCCACGGTGATGGCTTCCCCTCTTTTGCTGTCAGGTTTTGGGATACCAGTTTTATACCGGATACCGATTATCCGGTATACCGGTATACCGGTTAAATTCTGATATCTGTATTCGGCGACCATATTACCAATTTTTTGGTATACCGAATACTGGATAATCGGTATCCGGTATACCGGATACTGACCGACTACCACCCCTAACCAAGAGTGAAGCCAGGGCGCAGCTCATCGGAGCCAATGTGTTTCACCGGAATACTGTCGCCATTGGGTATGCGAACAGGCTGACCATCAACAAGAATTTCTTTTCGATCCAACATTGATTCATCCATGGTAATATGTTCATTGCAACAATAGTCTAATAACCATTCGAATTCGTATGAAAGTATACCTGCCATGTGAGCTGTCGGATCATCAACCGTCTTGCCTGAGGCACCAAAGAATTGTTTCAGTTCTTCGAGCTGAACCATGGTAAAACCAGCAACAGGACTCTGCTCGGATTCCGCCTATGATGCAAGCGGCTCGCGGTTATCGCCGGATTTGGGATTGCGACATTGCTGCTGGCGATCTCCATGCTTGTTACCTTGCTTGTCCTGCGGGGGGTAGCCAATCAGTTCATAAAAAGTTTCGCAAACATGTCCCAAACGCTGACGATGCGTGCACCGGGGACAGTCTCGTTGCTCCCGCGTTCCACAACTTCCTTTGTCAGGTGCGCCGACTGCCACGAACACTGCAACTTCTGGTGATACTTGACGATGCTGTGAGATCTGTTTTTGCTGTTCCTCGTTGAGGACCATGTGAAAGGCTTTAACAAGAGTAGGATTCGGCCGCATGGCCAATATTTGAGTCCGCACGGCTCCAATGGAATCGTCAAGGCCCATCAAGAATTCAAATAGCCTTGCCCGATCGTGGTCTTCACGAATCTTCTTCGAAATTCCACAAACACAACCAGCACATGTGTAGGTCGACAATGGGGTGATGGAGGAATTTTCTTCCCAAAGCAAGCGTAGGCGGGTATAAATGGAAGAAACCAGACTCTTGTTTTGCTGCGATAAAATGATCATTCGTCGCAATTCATAAGCTCGTGAGGAGCTTCCTTTACCAAACCGCTCTCGGAGATCCGCCCAGATGCTAGTGGCATGTTTAGAAAAACGGATGCTACTGCGAATCCCCTTATCCATAGAGGTCTTCAGCCAACCCTTGACCATGCCGTCTCAACGAAGCCAATCGCTTCTTTCTATCGTCGATTCGGGTTGTGGAAGAGAGCCATCGCCATAGTTGGTGGCTGTGAGGACATCACCAACGAGCATGTTTCCCGGACCATCGGAATTGGACAGCAGATACGCAGGCGAAAGTTGATCTTCGACCTTAACACTGCCAGACGAAGTTTCTTTGACATCATCAGAACCAAAACCCATGATTGACGGCGGACTAGGGACTGGAGCCTAGGGCTCTGATACCATGTAAAATTGACAATAAACGAGAGACGAGACGATTTTAACGTGTTTCTTCCTCAAAGTGTGTGAGGCTTACATCCATGGAAGAGACTCTGATTTTATTGGTTTTGCTTAGTTCGGCCAGTGGCCAAACTTACATATTTATAACACATATAATCTTTCTCTACTAGGGTTATATTAGCTGTCCAATCACAATTAGGATAGATGAAGTCTCCGTGGCCTCATTGGACTTCAATGCATGCGTTGTGGGCTTCCATGCAACCAAGCATGCATGGGCTACAGGAGGCGACGACGTGGGCTTCTCACGAGGAGGGTCACGATCCAATATCTTCCACCCTTCTGGTGATGCTTGTCTTGCCTCTATGCGGAGACGTTTTTGCTTCTCACCAAACTGGATTTTTCTAGATCTGTGTGGATGTCCCTTAAAGGTATTTGAGGTGGCTGATCTAGTCATCAGTTCGCTTGCTCCACTCTGGTTTGCCATCTAACTCCACATTCTTCATCCATAAATGGTGATATGGGGGCTTCTTGAACCTCTGTTGTCTTGGATGAAGTTTCAAGGAGTTTGTGAGCAGGGAAATCATTTTAGAAGTTGGATTTCTATCGATTTGCTCAGATCGATGGTGGATCAGCCGCTATTTTTATGTCTGTGGTTCGGAATGTGTCTCTTTTAGCTTGTTTGTGCAGGTGAATTTAGTTATTTGTTATGTATTCGGTTCTCCCCACGTGTTTTGTTGCCTTTTGCTTCTTGCATGTGCTTTATCTTTTATGTGGGTGCTGTTGTTGGTTCTCTGCCTCCTCTACTGTTTTCCCCGGCAAAGGTTCCTGCGGCGGCAGGAAGATGAAGAGCACTGTTGCTCTGGTGGTGATGCTTGCAACAACCACCTTCTTGGGTGATTAGTCCGCTGGATTACGGTTACCAGGGTAGACTTGTCCATGTGTTTAGACTGGGATTGGGCTTTCTTGAGTTTGGGCTGTGCTTGCCCACTTTTAGTTTAATCTTATTGAATTGGTTTTTTTTTCTTTCCTTTCAGTGTTATTTAACTCTGTACACCGTGTTTTATAGGAATGAAACGACCAACCATCTTTAAAAAAAAAAATACAGTGTAAGGAGTCTCTCTAACCTACGACCACACACCTCGAGAGAAGAACATCAGGGAAGGACATATCAATTGTTGTCATACATTCTTCTCGTCCCATATTAACGCTTTTATCCTTCATCTTCAGGTGAAATTAGTGTTTATTTCTCACGTATTTAGCGACATTCACTCATTCTTATTGCAATATAGGTTATTTTGATATCTTATTCTGTTCAATTTTTTCGTGCACGTTTGAGCTCCCCTTGGATCATTTTTGTCCATTGAAAATATGTGAATCTTATTTTCATGAATGTCATGTAATGACATCGATGACACCGAGTGTATGAGCACGTGAGAACACTCAGGGATGAAATCGAGTATCGGATGGAGGAAGTGGACCATTTGGGGTTGACAACCAATAATGGTGGCAAGAACTGGTAGGGTCACATGACTAGTCTGCCATTTTTCACTCATTCTCACTTGACATGAAAGCCCATAATTAGCGAGTCCAAGGCCGAAATTGGCAGGTACCCCGCCATTTTTATTTTATTGTTAATAATTTTGTAACTCTTTTCTTAGTTAAAATACTAAAATTTTGGAATGTTGAC